ACATTACATTACATTACATTACATTACATTGCATACATATATACATTACATTACATTACATTACATACATACATGTACATATATATATATATATATGTGTTTGTATATGTATTATTTTTTATGCAGACCTATATATATATATCCAAAACAAAGAAATGACATTTCAATCAATGCTAGCCATGCCCCATCTTATGACCCCGAAAAAAACATCTCCGGAGAGCCGGCTGGCCAGCCACCGCGAGCAAGAAACGGCACGTCAAAATTTTGAGCCTCCAAGCTAAGAAGTTGCTGTAGAACTGCTTCAAGGAGATGTCGCTCGAGAAGGCGCCGCACTTCGCCATCTCCGGGTTGGAGCCCGCGAGGGTGGAGGCCTGGGGCGAGGACCAGCCCGTCTCACCGAGCCAAAGGATGCTGTCCTTGCCGGTGAGTAGCTGCATCCTGACGCCGGCGCCACACCCGTCCACCCCCCAATCAGCCAAGATGAGTACTTGGCTGTGGGTCAAAAATAGGTACCCAAAATGGAACCGTGGCAAGTGGAAACATAGACTAACATTTGCGGTCCCCTGGTGGCTTAATTTTGACCCATACCCATTTCAAGAGGCAACTGCAACCGCGTTGGCCCAGGCATCATGGAAAACCAAGAAGCTCTGCACCCCCTGGTACATGGGCTGAACCATTACAACCGCACTGGGGAGTTCCCGCATCCAAGAAAGTGGACGATCCGCTTTTGAAGTCAAGGGATAAAGACTAGATTCATGCGTTTGTCTTAAAATAGGAATCAAAAAAAAAGTGCGGTGTCCCTTTATCTGTTCCTGCGAAACCAACTAAAAAGGGTGAAATTCCTCTAAAAAAATAGACACCCAAACCCACATATGTTCTCCTCTCCCCTTCTCCCCTGGCCTCTTGCGCATGCGGCTGACCGTGGCCGGCAAATTGCAAGTATCGTCAGTGAAGCACAGCGCCGTCTTTAAGCTTCTGGTGCACCGGTCCGTGGTGCCCGGATCCAGAGCGTTGGAAGGATCAAAGTAGGGGTAGATGTTCCTCACGAAATCAAAAAGAACGAAATCGGAGCCTCCAAAACTTCCGTGGTGTCCCTTTAATTCCCATTTAAACCAAGCCAGCCGCAAAAAAAAAATGCCCGAATATGACAGGCGATTGCCCTTGATCCGCTGAAAACAATGCTGCCCGTACCCCTTCTTCTTGGCACATGCAGAATGGCCGCAGTCCTTTTGCGCAGCCCTCATGAATTTATGCTGGAGTCCAAGGAAAGGGCTCCCGAGTGATTTCCCCTAGCATCACCCCAAGGGATACACCCTGTTGATGGGCCAAGAAGGTAATGTTTAAAACTTAAAACCACCACAAAGTAAAACTTGCAAAAACAAACTGCTGATCTCGTTGCGCGAGCTTCAGCGTGAACACCCAGCGACTCCCAAAGCGCTTCACAGCCTCCGTCAGAAAGGTCAGGACCATGGCTTTTGGTGTTTCCACGAAAGGGGAGCCAGAAAGGATGTAGCCACCAAAGACCGAGGTCAAGCGGACATCGCTGAATCCAGGTAGCTTATCCAAATCTGCGGCTCTTTCAGACAGCTTCCGCAAGAAGTAGCCCCCTTGCCACATTCGTGTCATGCAATCCTGGCAAAAGGGCTCACGAGCAGGATTCGCAGCATGGATTGCAAGTCACCGAAGCGATAGCTTCCGCCGCCGCTTCAAACGCTGGCCCGAGCAAGAGACGGGTTAAATGACTGGTACCATTTGGAGTTGCACCCCTCTGATTCTGAGACCCGACAGTGTGTGTGTGTGTGGGCGTGTGTGTGTGTGTGGAATTTGTGTTGTTTGTTTGTTTGTTTGTTTGCTTGCTTGCTGGATTGCTTGTTTGCTTGCTTGCTGGATTGTTTGCTTGCTTGCTTGATTGCTTGCGTGATTGCTTGCTTGCTTGCTTGCTTGCTTGCTTGCTTGCTTGCTTGCTTGCTTGCTTGCTTGCTTGCTTGCTTGCTTGCTTGCTTGCTTGCTTGCTTGCTTGTTTGTGCGAAATTACAGGCACTTTTTTTCTTCACTACTTTTGTACCTGCATGGCATGCAAGACTTTGGTTGGCTCAAGCCTGCTTGTGACGAAAAGAGAGCGCGATGCGTTCGGAGTCACTTCCTCAGAACTTCACATGGTAGCAGAGGTCTATTTCTTTCCAGAGCTCAAACATGGGATCACTCCGAAGTGATGATGCCGGACGCGCAGGTCAACTTAGGTTGCCCACGCCTTCTACTTTCTCTGCTTCGCCAGCAGATTGGAAAGAGTGGAACTTGGAACTTCAAAGATGTCCGTGCTCGCAGCCACCCGAGAGGCACCAAACCCACAGATGAGGACGCGTCTTTGGATACTGGGGACCGTGCCGAGGAAGCAACTGCACCTCGTGAGGAGTCGACTGCAGAGACTGGACTTGTTGCGAGGCAGAATGTCGAGAACGGCTTGGAAACCTGGAGGATACGTTTTGGGAAGTTTGCACTCCCACACTTCCGGACGCTGCAAGGCACGTGTCAAAAGTGACACAGTTGCTTGACTTCACGTTTCATCCCGCAACTTTTGTAAAGTCAAGTACGAGCGACAGACTGGAGCCGAACTTGCCGATAGCGTGTTAGTGGCGACTCGGCTGAAAATGGGACTGCTGGGGTGCTTCGCAGCAGCACTTGCGACTTGATGCAATATCTCTCGCCACGCGCAGAGGGACGTCATAGAGTGCTTTTGCCCACGGCACTCTCGAGTAGCAATGGCCCTGCACTAATGGACATCGGAGCACATTGGGGAAAGGCAAAGGACTTTCAGGCAAGAGGCGTGGGACTTCACTGAGACTTTTTGGGCAACGCAAATGGAAAAGCGGCAAAGGAAAGGACTTTGGAAAGAACAAAATCCTAAGGAAAAGGCAAAGGCTTCGCTGGACTTGTGGCCGCCCTAACTTGTCTAGCACTTGTCTCTCCTGGATGGCAGAGGAGTCGATGGACTTTGCTCCGTAGACTGTGCGCACGAGTTCCTTTGGGACACTTGGTACTACCTTGGTACTCCTGGGATGTGAGTGCACTTTGGATGAAGAGACTTGGTGGAATGAGGATTAGGCTTGGAGGACTGATGTGACTTGGCACGACGGCACCTGGAATTCACACTCCCAACAGACTTTGCTCGAGCCATTTTGTCGTGTTTGTGTCTGTGTTTGTGTGATTTATGTCTTTGCTTCCTTGCTCCCTTGCTCATTTGCTTCTTTGCTTCTGTGGTTATGTGCTTCTTTGTTGTTGTTTGTTTCGTTTCTTCTTTGCTTCTTAGATTATTTGGACTTGTTCCTTCGTTTTTTGAGTCTTTGCGTCTTTGTGTTGTTGCGTCGTTGCGCCGTTCCTTCTTTGCGTCTGTTGCCTCCTTGCTTCTTTGCGTCTTTGCTTCCTTGCTTCTTTGCTGTTTGGCCTCTTTGCTTCTTTGCTTCTTGCCTCTTTCTCCTTGCCGCTTGGCATTTTTGCCTCTTGGCCTCTTTGCTTCTTTCTTCCTTGCTTCTTTGCTTCTTTGGTGTCTTGGTGTCTTTGCGTCTGAGTTCCTTCGTTTCTTCGTTTATGTTATTGTTCCTTCGGTTCTTCGATTCTTCGATTCATCGTTTCTTCGCTGTTTCGCCTCTTCACCTCTTCGCCTCGTCGCCTCTTTGCCTCTTCGCCTCTTCGCCTCTTTGCTTCTTCGCTTCTTCGCTTCTTCGCTTCTTCGCTTCTTTGTTTCTGTGCTTCTGTGTTGCTTTGTTGCTTCTCTGCAGATGTTTGCTTCTTTATTAATGTCTTTGTTTTATTTCTGCCTTCGCTTGTTTCTTTGCTTCTTTGTTGCTTCTTTGCGTCTGTGCTTGTTTGCTTCTTTGTTTCGTTGTTTCTTTGTGTCTTTGTTGCTGTGTCTCTTGTTTCTGTTTGTTTTCTTGCTTGTTGCTGTGTGTGTGTGTGTGTTTGCTTTTTTGTGTCTTCTTCTTCTGTTTGTTTGTTTCATATTTGCTTGTTTGGTTGGTTGTTCGGTTGTTTGCTTGGCGCTCACTCAGGACACCCTTTCTGTGCTTGCTGCTAGCCTACAGGGAAAGCTTGTTGCGACTTCCGAGCATTGTTTTACCGGTCCTGCGAGATGCCCTTCTTGTATTGCAGGAGCTCGAGCTCATTTCCCACGGCGATCCCCATGACGTGCTTTCGTCCAAGCTTCTGCAGCAGTTCCAACACTAAGCGCCAGTCCCGGTCATCATCCGCCTCATCACAGGTCACCTGCACATCTGGACGAGTCGACTCGATTCTTCTCAGAAAGGCTTTTGGAGTCTGTTGCATGCACTTGACATGTGGTGGGGCTGCAATGTGCAGGCAAGTCATGTTCATGATAGTATTGTTCAGCAGCCTTCGGCAGCGCGTTTCTCACAAAATCCTTACATGTGGCTGGACCCCATGCCCATTGGGCCCGGACCGGAGTTGACCCCAGCCCCAAAAACACAATCAAGCCCTCAAGTGACGCAAGTCAGGGGTCACCAGACTTCATCAGTATCCTGGCGGGCTCAAGGTCCAACTGCACCTTTCCGAGCTTAACTTGGTTGACGTTGGCAGGGGAGCAATTTTTTAAATCTTAGCAGTTCAGTGGGAATTGCAACCACAAAACCACAGCTACCTCAAAAATTTAGCAACATGGCTCCCAACAACAACCATTCTTTGGTGGGATCCAATGGGAAATCTCAAGGAAAGAAAACCGTTGCGCAATGCTGCAAGGCAACTGGACCTTTCTTTCCGAGTTCTGCTCACGCCCATGGCCAAGTGATGGGTCAAAACCCAAATCGGTTGGCCAGTGAACCAATCTGTGGCTCAAAATTAAACGATCGGAGGGGCAAACCGCAGGTGTTGGTACCCACGTTGCCACTTGCCAGGGCAACCCATATTGGAATTCCGGCTTTTTGAATTCGCCACAGCCAAATGGGCTGCAAAAGGGTTTTGACCCCCCAGTGGCTTCTTGCTTCTTCTCGCCTGGGTGCCCACCAGCACCTCCATCCCGCCCTGCTGCACCACCGTGGCCAGCTGGTCCCAGGCCGTGAGCCGGGCCCCGTCGGGCCAGCTCTTGTCCCAGGCCTTGAAGAGCCGGAGCGAGGTGAGCTTCTCCTCACGCCATGGGCACCAGGGCTCAACATCTTTGACCCCAAAGGGGCTACTTACACCAGGGGTTGATTTTTTTGAAAAGGGGTTCAACGTGTTTGACAACACCAAAGTGGCTACTTAAAGCCAGGGGTGGTTGATTTCCCCAAAAGGGAAACCAATTCCTGGGTTCAAGTCTGCCTGGCCATGGGTCAAAATCCCAATCGTACCCCCAGTGAACATCCCAATCCCCACTAAAATAGGTTCTAAAATGGGCGGTGCACCTAGCCCAAAAAGGTACCATTGGTTTTGACCCACAGGTTTTCGGGGACAGGGTTCAACATGTTTGACAACACTAAAGTGGCTACTTAAACCCAGGGATGGTTGATTTCCCCAAAAGGGAAACCAATTCCTGGGTTCAAGTCTGCCTGGCCATGGGTCAAAATCCCAATCGTACCCCCAGTGAACATCCCAATCCCCACTAAAATAGGTTCTAAAATGGGCGGTGCACCTAGCCCAAAAAGGTACCATTGGTTTTGACCCACAGGTTTTCGGGGACAGGGTTCAACATGTGTGACAACACCAAAGTGGCTACTTAAACCCAGGGATGGTTGATTTCCCCAAAAGGGAAACCAATTCCTGGGTTCAAGTCTGCCTGGCCATGGGTCAAGTCAAATCCCAATCGTACCCCCAGTGAACATCCCAATCCCCACTAAAATAGGTTCTAAAATGGGCGGTGCACCTAGCCCAAAAAGGTACCATTGGTTTTGACCCACATCCCCACTAAAATAGGTTCTAAAATGGGCGGTGAACATGCCAATAGCCCAAAAAGGTACCATTGGTTTTGACCCATTGGTTCAACATGTTTGACAACACCAAAGTGGCTACTTAAACCCAGGGGTGGTTGATTTCCCCAAAAGGTTCCTTTCAAGGCCTGGCCATGGGTCAAATCAATCGTACCCCCAGTGAACATCCCAATCCCCACTAAAATAGGTTCTAAAATGTGCACCTAGCCCAAAAAGGTACCATTGGTTTTGACCCACAGGTTTTCGGGGACAGGGTTCAACATGTTTGACAACACCAAAGTGGCTACTTAAACCCAGGGGTGGTTGATTTCCCCAAAAGGGAAACCAATTCCTGGGTTCAAGTCTGCCTGGCCATGGGTCAAAACCCAATCGTACCCCCAGTGAACATCCCAATCCCCACTAAAATAGGTTCTAAAATGGGCGGTGCACCTAGCCCAAAAAGGTACCATTGGTTTTGACCCACAGGTTTTCGGGGACAGGGTTCAACGTGTTTGACAACACCAAAGTGGCTACTTAAACCCAGGGGTGGTTGATTTCCCCAAAAGGGACACCAATTCCTGGGTTCAAGTCTGCCTGGCCATGGGTCAAAACCCAATCGTACCCCCAGTGAACATGCCAATCCCCACTAAAATAGGTTCTAAAATGGGCGGTGCACCTAGCCCAAAAAGGTACCATTGGTTTTGACCCACAGGTTTTCGGGGACAGGGTTCAACATGTGTGACAACACCAAAGTGGCTACTTAAACCCAGGGGTGGTTGATTTCCCCAAAAGGGAAACCAATTCCTGGGTTCAAGTCTGCCTGGCCATGGGTCAAAATCCCAATCGTACCCCCAGTGAACATCCCAATCCCCACTAAAATAGGTTCTAAAATGGGTGGTGCACCTACCCCAATAAGGTACCATTGGTTTTGATCCACAGCCTTCTGGGGACAGCGTTCAACATGTTTGACAACAGCAGAGTGGCTACTTAAACCCAGTTTTGGGGAAACCAATTCCTGGGTTCAAGTCTACCTGGCCATGGGTCAAAATCCCGGATACCCCCCAGTGAACATCCCAATCCCCACTAAAATTGGTTCTAAGATGGGTGGTGCACCTACCCCCAAATGGTGCCATTGGTTTTGACCCACAGACTTCTGGGGACAGGGTTCAACATGTTTGACAATCCCAAAGTGGTTACTGAAAACCGTTGCTGGATTTCTTCAGGGAAACCAATCCCTGGGTTCAAGTCTACCTTGGGGTAGCAACGCAGTCCTGTTGGCTTTGCTTTACCAACAAAAAAGGGTCGCCTCAACAAACAAGCACACCCAAATCCTGTCATGAATTCCCCAAATCGTGTCATGAATTGGTTTCCCTTTGGCAAGGGGAAGTAGGAAAGTCTTAAGGGCGATCTTGTTCCACATTACAGGTTTTGAGTACGCTGTGCAACTTCTTGGCGACGGTTAGAAGCTGAAAGTCCCAACACAAGCAAACCTGCCATAAACATGCTGAAACCTAGCCCGACCGGCAGCAAAGACAAACTTCCCTGTCGGATCTATGAGATATGTCAGGGTGGTTGTGCATAAAGCGCAAACAACTTGACAACTACCCATTTAAGGTCCTGTGATTGAATTTGAGAATTATGAGTTTAAGGTTGTGCGTGTGCATCGCATGTGTCAAACATTAATGCCAAAAAGGAATAACATCAAAGCCTCAACCAGCCTTCGTGTCATGCTGTGGAGAGCCAGAATATGTGCAGGCCGTTTGCTCTCTTCAGAAATAGTTGTCAATCGTGCAGCATACCAAGCTAAACTCAAACAAAAAGGGATTTATTTATATGTTTGAGGGTACCCTTTTTTGTGGTCTCACACAGGGAAACCAAAAAAAAAGCAAAGAAAAACGAGAAATCCATTGGATCGGCCCGGAAAAAAAAATAGCTCCTCGGTGTTGGGCCAGACCCTGGGAACCGAGTGAGAGCACTTCTGAAAGGTCGTGTCGTCAATGGCCAGGCCCTTCTGTGCGGGCTTCCGCACCTGGCTGAGCGGCGGTGGCGAATTCAAAAAGCCGGAGAATTCCAAAATGGGTTGCCCGATCGGTAAGTGGAAACATGGGTACCAGAACCTGCGGTTTGCCCCTCCGGTTTAATTTTGAGCCACACCCACCTCAGTTGCCCTGACACAGAAATGTCTCAGGTGTGACTCTAGGTCCAGTTTTGGAGGTTAGAAGAAGGGTATTCTGTTTTTTTTCTGTAGCCATTTTAGTAGGGGAACCCTCCCCAGAAAAACGGGTAAAAGGGCGCTACTGCCACTGGAAATGTTTCTTTGTTTCCGAAAAGGGGACACACCCAAAGGCCCAGTTCAGGTCCACTCGCTCTGCAAACCGTGGCACTGGGCCCAGGATCACGTTGCTGTCGCACTTGTAGGCTGCAGCCAGGGGCTGCGGGCCGTCCATCCCATCGCCCATCACGACGATCACCACGGTGGCAGCCACGGCGGAGATCACGGCCGCCATGCAGGCGCACGCGCCAGAGCATTGGCAGAGCTGCCGAGCGCTTTCCCTGCACCGCTTCATGCGCCCCATGCAAAAGAAGAGACGAGCGAGCGAGGTCTCTGTGTCTCTATGTCCAATCACTTTCCTGCATGTCGGTCAGTCATGCCCAATCAAAAAGCAATGTATGAGAGTGCAGCTACTGTGAAGTGCCTGTTGTCTGTGTACCTGCTATCTACTTAAGAACGTATCATCACAGTCGGCGTGCTATGAATGCAACGCAAACCAAGTCCACTCAGAACAGATCTAACACCAAGTCAACGACCAAGCCACAACCTAGCACTGAAAACTTGTCTGCGAACAGGGCCTCACGCGCCCAAACAGCCAGCGGGACTGAACCAAGCATCACAGCCTGTTTTGGCTCTGGCGGCTCTGGATTGCAGCCTACGCCACGAACAAAAAGCTGCAGAGTGTGGGTGTCTGTAAATCATTGCCAAAAAAAAAATGCCTCGATTGCTGTCTGGTTCGATATATCTGGTCTTGAAAAGTCTGTCAACCCAAATGTGCTGCACGTGCTCCTGTCCTTTCGCTGGGCTGCATCAAAAAATGGGCAGAGTCGCCGCTCACAGGCTCTTTGCCTCCTTGGCCTTCCGGTCGTCCTGGACCCTCTTCAAGGCCTCAGCAATCTCAATGCTTGCTGAATCACTCTGCACTTGGCATCCCACCCTGCAAACCATCTGTTGGTGCCACTTGCCAATTGCTCAGTGAGGTCAAAAACAGTTTGGAGCATTGTTTCTTAGTGCTGACGCCCCCAACTTGCACATTTTGCTGCACCATGCTCCGAAGGTCCAAAGGTAAGCTTCGCGCCTCCATGAGTCGGGTGGTGTACTCCTGCTTGGTGTACTCTCCAACCTCCTCCACAGGAACCATCTCCTCCATGTTGGGCTGAGGCAGCGCAAAGAGATTGGGAATATCCTGGAAGGCCATCACGCGTGCCTTGATGAAGAGAGTCGTCAGGGGGTCAGCCTCATAGGACTTCATGTGGTACTTGGTCCACTTCAGCTCCGACTGCTGAGGGTTGCCCCGGATGGTGAAAGGCCGGCCGTTCACCTGCACGCGGCCCTTGTTGACCTTCTCAGGGAACACGCCATCCGCTGGGTGCATGAAGATCACAGTGCCATCCTTCTTGAGGCGGTAGATCTTGTAGTTCTCGATCTTCATCTTGCGCAGCTGCTTGCCCAGAGAAATGCACTGCTCCTTCTTCCTGAAATAGCAAAGGTTCTCACCCTTGTTCATGATGGCAAAGCCTCCAGTAGGCATCTCGAACTTGTTCTGGTCCTTGGCCGTCCAGGTGATGGCATGTCGCTCGCGAGTGGACCGGGACATGTAGCCACCGGTTGAACCCTCGAACATGGGGAACTTTGGGGACTCCAGCAAATCCTCTGGCCGGGGGATGGACTCCACCACGATCTCCTTGCTCTCCGCACGCCTGGTCACCGCAGCTCCGACAGCCAGCACCACACCACCCAGGGAGCAAGCGGTCCACAGGCCGCTGGTGCCAGAAGGCGCAGACGCGCCGAAGGCGGCCGGCTGCGCAGCTGGGGCGCGGAGCCGGCGTGCCCCAGAGCTAGGAGCCACAAAGGCCACCGTGGCGAGGCCGAAAACGGCCACCGCAGCCACACCCACCGCGCGCGAAGCCATTGGTCTGTCAGGAAGCCCTGCGAGCGCTTCAGCTGTGACTTGGGCTGTACCACGGCAACAGGCGGCGACAAGTGACCAAGTATATGCTGCTCTCTCAAAACACTGCCGTTATTAGCAAGCCTTGCAGCAAATGAACAGCTGTCCTACGACTGCCAGTGTGTAGGGATCGGAAAGTCTTTCACCAAGGAACGCGGCCAGGCAAGCCTTTGTGTTTGTTGCTGTCCCCTGTAACTACTCTGCAACCACGCAAACAGCAACATTCCAAAAACAACATGTCAACATTTCGTTGCCTTTTTGACATGCCCAAGTAAGACGGCACGCTGTCAGCCCAAAAAGCCGTGGCCTCGTCTTGCCGCAACTGAGTGATCCTAAAAAGTATGCACGTCCGCTCACAGGCTCTTTGCCTCCTTGGCCTTTCGGTCGTCCTGGACCCTCTTCAAGGCCTCAGCAATCTCAATGCTTGCTGAATCACTCTGCACTTGGCATCCCACCCTGCAAACCATCTGTTGGTGCCACTTGCAAATGCTTAGTGAGGTCAAACACAGTTTGGAGCATTGTTTCTTAGTGCTGTCGCCCCCAACTTGCACACATGCTACACCATGCTCCAAAAGGTAAGCTTCGCGCCTCCATGAGTCGGGTGGTGTACTCCTGCTTGGTGTACTCTCCAACCTCCTCCACAGGCACCATCTCCTCCATGTTGGGCTGAGGCAGCGCGAAGAGATTGGGAATATCCTGGAAGGCCATCACGCGTGCCTTGATGAAGAGAGTCGTCAGCGGGTCAGCCTCATAGGACTTCATGTGGTACTTGGTCCACTTCAGCTCCGACTGCTGAGGGTTGCCCCGGATGGTGAAAGGCCGGCCGTTCACCTGCACGCGGCCCTTGTTGACCTTCTCAGGGAACACGCCATCCGCTGGGTGCATGAAGATCACAGTGCCATCCTTCTTGAGGCGGTAGATCTTGTAGTTCTCGATCTTCATCTTGCGCAGCTGCTTGCCCAGAGAAATGCACTGCTCCTTCTTCCTGAAATAGCAAAGGTTCTCACCCTTGTTCATGATGGCAAAGCCTCCAGTGGGCATCTCGAACTTGTTCTGGTCCTTGGCCGTCCAGGTGATGGCATGTCGCTCGCGAGTGGACCGGGACATGTAGCCGCCGGTTGAACCCTCGAACATGGGGAACTTTGGGGACTCCAGCAAATCCTCTGGCCGGGGGATGGACTCCACCACGATCTCCTTGCTCTCCGCACGCCTGGTCACCGCAGCTCCGACAGCCAGCACCACACCACCCAGGGAGCAAGCGGTCCACAGGCCGCTGGTGCCAGAAGGCGCAGACGCGCCGAAGGCGGCCGGCTGCGCAACTGGGGCGCGGAGGCGGCGTGCCCCAGAGCTAGGAGCCACAAAGGCCACCGTGGCGAGGCCGAAAACGGCCACCGCAGCCACACCCACCACGCGCGAAGCCATTGGTCTGTCAGGAAGCCCTGCGAGCGCTTCAGCTGTGACTTGGGCTGTACCACGGCAACAGGCGATGACAAGTGCCTGAGTACATGCTGCTCACGCAAACACTTCCAGTCCAACTCTTTCCGGGCAAAAGCCTGGCAGCAAAGCTGTCCTGATGCCAGCTTAAGAGTCATGTGTGTGTGTGAGAGAATCGGAAAGGACCTTCCACCAAGGAAAGCAACAAGGCATTTCTTTGGGCTTGTCGATTTACGCTGCAACTAGTCTGCTACCACTGAACAGGCAACATCCGGGAATCGTGTCTTGTAGCCTATCTCAAAAGCAACACGTCAACACTTTGTTGCCTTTTTTGAGCGTGCCCAAGTGAGACGGCACGCTGTCAGCCCAAAAAGCCGTGGCCTCGTCTTGCCGCAACTGAGTGATCCTAAAAAGTATGCACGTCCGCTCACAGGCTCTTTGCCTCCTTGGCCTTCCGGTCGTCCTGGACCCTCTTCAAGGCCTCAGCAATCTCAATGCTTGCTGAATCACTCTGCACTTGGCATCTCACCCTGCAAACCATCTGTTGGTGCCACTTGCCAATTGCTCAGTTAGGTCAAACACATTTTGTTGCATTGTTTCTTGGTGCTGACCCCCAACTTGCACATTATGCTGCACCTCCGAAGGTCCAAAGGTAAGCTTCGCGCCTCCATGAGTCGGGTGGTGTACTCCTGCTTGGTGTACTCTCCAACCTCCTCCACAGGAACCATCTCCTCCATGTTGGGCTGAGGCAGCGCAAAAAGATTGGGGATATCCTGGAAGGCCATCACGCGTGCCTTGATGAAGAGAGTCGTCAGGGGGTCAGCCTCATAGGACTTCATGTGGTACTTGGTCCACTTCAGCTCCGACTGCTGAGGGTTGCCCCGGATGGTGAAAGGCCGGCCGTTCACCTGCACGCGGCCCTTGTTGACCTTCTCAGGGAACACGCCATCCGCTGGGTGCATGAAGATCACAGTGCCATCCTTCTTGAGGCGGTAGATCTTGTAGTTCTCGATCTTCATCTTGCGCAGCTGCTTGCCCAGAGAAATGCACTGCTCCTTCTTCCTGAAATAGCAAAGGTTCTCACCCTTGTTCATGATGGCAAAGCCTCCAGTGGGCATCTCGAACTTGTTCTGGTCCTTGGCCGTCCAGGTGATGGCATGTCGCTCGCGAGTGGACCGGGACATGTAGCCGCCGGTTGAACCCTCGAACATGGGGAACTTTGGGGACTCCAGCAAATCCTCTGGCCGGGGGATGGACTCCACCACGATCTCCTTGCTCTCCGCACGCCTGGTCACCGCTGCTCCGACAGCCAGCACCACACCACCCAGGGAGCAAGCGGTCCACAGGCCGCTGGTGCCAGAAGGCGCAGACGTGCCGAAGGCGGCCGGCTGCGCAACTGGGGCGCGGAGGCGGCGTGCCCCAGAGCTAGGAGCCACAAAGGCCACCGTGGCGAGGCCGAAAACGGCCACCGCAGCCACGCCCACCACGCGCGAAGCCATTGGTCTGTCAGGAAGCCAGCGCTTCAGCTGTGACTTGGGCTGTACCACGGCAACAGGCGGCGACTAATGCTACATGCCTTTGGGTTTGTTGATTCCCCCTGCAACAAGTCTGCAACCACCAAAGCTGTGCTCTTAAAAGTCTATTGCTGAAGTATTGCTCTCCTTGAAAGTACGAAGCGCACGGTGGCAAGGATTTCATCTGGGGGTTGATCAATAGTCCCTTCGGCCCCCAAATGACCATGGGAAACTGTTCCCTTTGAGCGGTGGACATATCATCTGTTTTAGCAGTTTTCCCCAATGTGTCATCCCATGTGGCTGTGGGTCAAAAATAGATACCCAAAATGGAACCCTGGTGAATGGAAACATGGACTTAAACCTGCGGTCCTCTGGTGGTTTATTTTTGAGCCTTATGCAAAGCAAATGGGAGGATCAACGCCCTGCGAGACACGGCCAAGTCCAAAGCTCCTTTTTGTTCATCCAGGCCAGGACTGCAGCCCAAAAAACCTCTGTCGTCTGTGACGCCTCTGACCGAATTGGAGGCGGAAGAGCCTCCAGTCCGGGGATGAACACCAAAAAACGCGGAATCGCCTCACAGGCTCTTGGCCTCCTTGGCCTTGCGGTCGTCCTGCACCCTCTTCAAGGCCTGGCAAAGCGAGCGCAAGGCGCGCTTGCTACGAAACCGAACGCGGATGGAAAAACGCGCAAGGCGCGCGTTGCGTGCGTGGGGGAAGCCGGTGATGTGGTTTGCAAGATGGAACTTGCAAGATGGAACATCACAACAATGAATATTCGAGAATGCACACACTCGTTCAGTTCAGGATCAAAAGTCGGCAACGGTATTGAGCAGCACGAGGTCGGCAAAAACATCAGGACCGACAGACAAAGGGTGCAGAGATTATAACCCGACTTCTGGCACCTCGGCGAGACCATGCCCAAACAAACTGAGGCATTGCAATAGAGAATAATGCGGATTCCAGACAATGCAGCTTGGGAAGTACCTCAAAGCATTGCATGGCTCTGCTGCATTTAGAAGCCAACGTGCCCCAACTGGCTAAACCGGGAACGACTCTGTGCAAAGCATTCCAAACATCTAGGGCCGAAAACTATAAGTTCATATCGCGCCTCCATAAGTCGGGTGGTGTACTCCTGCTTGGTGTACTCGCCAACCTCCTCCACAGGCACCATCTCCTCCATGTTGGGCTGAGGCAGCGCGAAGAGATTGGGGATATCCTGGAAGGCCATCACGCGTGCCTTGATGAAGAGAGTCGTCAGGGGGTCAGCCTCATAGGACTTCATGTGGTACTTGGTCCACTTCAGCTCCGACTGCTGAGGGTTGCCCCGGATGGTGAAAGGCCGGCCGTTCACCTGCACGCGGCCCTTGTTGACCTTCTCAGGGAACACGCCATCCGCTGGGTGCATGAAGATCACAGTGCCATCCTTCTTGAGGCGGTAGATCTTGTAGTTCTCGATCTTCATCTTGCGCAGCTGCTTGCCCAGAGAAATGCACTGCTCCTTCTTCCTGAAATAGCAAAGGTTCTCACCCTTGTTCATGATGGCAAAGCCTCCAGTGGGCATCTCAAACTTGTTCTGGTCCTTGGCCGTCCAGGTGATGGCATGTCGCTCGCGAGTGGACCGGGACATGTAGCCGCCGGTTGAACCCTCGAACATGGGGAACTTTGGGGACTCCAGCAAATCCTCTGGCCGGGGGATGGACTCCACCACGATCTCCTTGCTCTCCGCACGCCTGGTCACCGCAGCTCCGACAGCCAGCACCACACCACCCAGGGAGCAAGCGGTCCACAGGCCGCTGGTGCCAGAAGGCGCAGACGCACCGAAGGCGGCCGGCTGCGCAACTGGGGCGCGGAGGCGGCGTGCCCCAGAGCTAGGAGCCACAAAGGCCACCGTGGCGAGGCCGAAAACGGCCACCGCAGCCACGCCCACCGCGCGCGAAGCCATTGGTCTATCAGGAAGCCCTGCGAGCGCTTCAGCTGTGACTTGGGCTGTACCACGGCAACAGGCGATGACAAGTGCTTGAGTACATGCTGCTCACAGAAACACTTTCAGCACAACTCTGTCCAGACCAAAGCATTGGAGCAAACCAGCAATTATCCCACAAGCAACGGAGCAAGCTGAGACCACGCAGCCTAGCACAAGCCAGCAGAATGAATCCAAACCTGTTGTCACCCTCTCAGAGAATCGAAGGGATGTCGGCAACGATTTTCCAGCTGCCATGACGGCCTGCCACACTTCTCACCACTAAAGCTATGCTTCATCATCCTCCCCTTGCTCCTCCTCCTGCAGAAATGTGACTGGACAAGTGAACCATCCACTGTGTGCTGTTGTGCAAACCTCAAGCCTAGCAGGCCCAGGACTATGCGCGGAGCTGTTCGAAAAAATGGGCATCTGTGCATCCGTGCATCCGTCGAACAGCCTCTCCTGTGGCAAAGTCTTTGGCTCATCAATCCAGCGACTCGTCTCACCTTGCTGCACAAACACGAACACACGCGCACACCCACACACACACACACACCCACACACACACACACACACACCACCCACGAAGAGGCACACTTGCCAGTCTGCTCGACTCAAATGCCCGCTCCACATGACGTCTGACGGTGCTCGATTTCTCAGACCATGGCCCCACTTGTTGAAGCTGACGAAGAGCTTCACACCCGGCAGCCTTTGCTTGAACCTGAGGCGTCTTTCTCCCAAAGAAAAAACGCCGAGGCAAGCGGGTATGGGTCAAAATTAAACCACCAGGAATCGATTTGACCTCAGGTTCTGGTACCCATGTTTCCACCCGATCGGGCAACCCATTTGGGTTGGTTACCCTGCCTATTTACAACCACCGCCAAGTGAAGCCGCCACCGGCACCACCGGCACCATGGCACCATGGCACGCCGTTTCGCTCGCTGCGGGTGGCTTCCCTTGGGGCGGCCGCTGGCAGAAGACCGCCATGCAGGAGATGCACGGCGTGTGGGTCGCATAGACCTCGGGCGGCTCGCTGAGTCGCCGGGTCAGAGCCCTGTGACCATCTATCACTCAGATGCCCGGTGGAATGAGGGGCATCCGATTTTTGCTGGGGTTGGTTGAGTTTACAGGAGAACCCTTGCCCAAAAAAGAGGGGAAAAAAGAGTGCCACTGGGCAACAGAGATCAAAGGAGTCTCTGCAAGGAAACAGCGGCATGTTAAACTGTTAGACAGCATGTTGGTGCGACAATTCGGCGTATGCGACTCACTAACTTATCCACATGATCATGGCAACACCCCGCTCTGATGTTTGTCAACATGTCGCCTGCCTCTGGTACCTGTTCTAGTGCTGAACCATGGATCACTCAGCTGACTGCTGCAGCTGCTCGGGTTCCCTCGGTTTCGGTTGACACGGAACCTGCGAGGACGCAACTGAGACCATGCCCTTCACCGGGCTGTCTGGGTGGAGCTTGCCGCCGGAAGACTTCACCTCGAACGCTGGCCAGAGAGAGGGCCGGTCCGAGTCAAAGCCTTTGAAAAAATATCCAGACACACGGAGCCAAATGAAAATGCGTCACATTTTAGGTTCAGGAGATGATACTGGAGGACGTGAAAGCAAGCTAACTGTGCAGAGGAAAACCGGATTTGTCTCGGCAGGGACCGTCAACATGGGACGATTTCCTTTTCCCAACAAAAAGCCACCAAAAAAGGTTGCCAACTCCAAAACGAAGACCCCCCCCAACTCCAAAAAGAAGACTCCCCAACTCGAACCCCCCCTTCAACTGTCTCCCGTGCAACGCCCAACGCCCTTCACTTTTTTGGGTTCGCCGGCGAGTCTTCCCATAGCCAGCAAGGCCTCGGTGAATGGTTCAGATTCGCTGAGACACTTTCAGGTCTCTCATGCCAAAATTGATGTCTCGATGCCATTCAAACCAACTGGCTTTCCTGATCCGAGCGGTCAGCGTGTGCATTTGCGGCAAAGGCATTGGGGCTGGAGGAGGTATGTTTTTGTTGCCGACATGGGCTTCTAACTAGGTGACTAGCTCTTCTTCAGAAAATTCCATCGAAAGCTGCGTTCAGTGGTCGCAAATGTCTGAAGCATGTGTTTTGAGACATGCTAAAGCTTTACTTTCTTCCCCAGTCAGCCAGCCGTTCAACCACTCGGCACCGCAAGAACGCTTCAGGCGCCTAGTGAACCACTTGAGTGCGCTGCCATTCGCTCTGCATGGGAGGAGCGATCATGCTCCACGAAGACAGGCAGCAGCCATTCGCTCACCTCGAATCAGCATGCCGCGAAGGGAGTCCCCCATTCTTTCCAACCATCGTTCTTTTCGAAAACCGGCCGTTTCCATGGGTTTCCGGAGGCTTTCTAGAAAGAAGGATCTCTGGAAAGAATGGGGAAGGTAAAACTAGAATCATTGGCCGCCCTTGCGAAGACCATCAGCTATTGACAAGCTTGCGCGAGCTTGGTAAGAACACATATCCCAATAAGATAGGCGCAAGGCAAGGCATGAGTCCGAAATGGCTGAGCACCCACCCCCACTCTGTGTCAGTAAGGCGCACCTCTGGCTTGCCCACCGCATAGCCTCGACACGAGGTGAGCCCATCAAGCCGACTCTACTTCATGACTCTCCTTACTTCTTTCTCTGCCTCTCACAAAGCTGAAGGGAGGATCAGCCTCATCACTCACTCCCTCGCACTTCCGAGCCATTCCTAGCTTAGCAATCTCTCCGCTGCTGTCCCGCGAGCTGCGTGAAACTGCAAACTATCCCTGAGAGCAGTCCCAAACTCGAACACCATTCTCACAAATCCAGGAAGAAACCTGTTGCCGTTCCATCGAGCTCCAAACATGGCCATGGGTCAAAAGCCAAATTGTACCCCCAGTGAACATCCCAATCCAACCACTAAAATAGTTTCTAAAATGGGCGGCGAATTCACCTACCCCAAAATGGGATCCCAAAACGGTTTTGACAACCACAGCCACATTCGCCCATTCGGACTTCGACTATGGAGCCCGGCCCCATGGCCGTCCACGACAACGCAGCGCTTCCGGGCTCTCATCGCCCACCTGCTAGCATAGGTGGCCGTTTGGACAAATAGATGGGTTTCCCTGGTAAATGGGGCATAAACCGACCATCTACACCAGGAATCGCCCTCTATTATTTAAGCAAACCAACCAAAACGGACGCCTATGGAATCAAGGTGTATACCCGCTACATAGTGGTTATACACTGCCTTCATACGGGTCCCTTTCCCTCAGATGGTTTGAGGGTGGAAACCGTGAAGGGATCAATCCTCTCGTCAAAAATTGTGTACCATGCTGGCTTAAGATGCGTGGTACGCCGTCGGCCTCGGATCGATGCTTTCGGATTGGCGGTTGACAATGGGGGTTGTGCTCGCAGGCCTCTATGCTTGCCTTGTCTCATGCTTGCAGACTGGTTTGGGCTGTCCACCTTTGATACTTGTACTATTTGTTGCTTTAGTTCACTGGGCAGTGGACATTGTAGGCAGGGTTCGTGAGCTGCTGGGTGGCATGTAGAGCTAGATGTAGTGGCTGGTTGCAAACGCATGTGTGGCTGCCTGCGTGTGGCTGATGATTCTTGGCAGTTGATTGGAGTTGATGTCTCGCTCCAGCTGGTACTTCTGCATTGCAGTTGCCCAAGCTCAATGGACGCAGCATTCTGTCTGTGTGTGTGCGCTTGTTTGTTGAAAAGTCCAAGCAAATTGATGGACTTATGACGTGCTCTGAAGTTTTTCTGCATGGCATGCGACTCCTGTCTCTGGAAATCAATGCTACTTCCAAGAAGGAGGTTGCCACAACTTGTCGGTGTTTTGACACTAGCCTCAAGATGATTCTGCGTGGTTTCCTCTGCAAGGCTTCCCAAAAAGGACAGCTTACGGGCATTCTTGGCAACGTGCTGAGGCGCGCTCGGTCACGTTGTGCGCCATCCAGGCAATGAGAGCGTTGGAGACTGGGTCCTTGGCACGGTTGTGTCTGGCATTTGGCATGACCTGCTGGTCAAGAGAGCTTTCAGCTTGAAACGTGGCTCTGGCATGCAACATGGTGCGACCAAGGATTGACAAGAGAGTCCAGGCAAACCCTTTCGTCTCGGAACCACTTGCAATTTTTCTCCCAGCTTTCACTTGAGGCAATGACATCAGTGGCCCTGACTCCAGCCTAGCGATCCATCGCGCTCGATCGCCATGGATCTTCTTGGCCAAAAAAACCATGTGGAAATTCCATGGTCAATCAGATTCGGGAAGTGTATTTTGTTGAAATTCCATGGTCAACTCATGTCAACTCTGTCAGATTCGGGACATGTAGATTTCACCTCACTTCAGCTGGAAGCGGCCTCATGCAATTTTCTCTGGGCCTCCTCCAGCAAGCTGCGGCTGGTGCGCTGCATGGCGGGCATCAGCGGATCCTGGCGGCTCGCAACTCACACCTCCGAGCTCCACTCTTTTAGGAGCTGATGTGGAAGCCTTTGGAAAGTCAACAAAGCGACCAAGCACTTTTGTTTGGGCCAAATGCCGCTTGTCCGTGCGTCTGCAAGGTGTCCATCTCCATTTCAACTGGAACAAGTTCGTTGTTAAAGTAGAGGAACTGATCTGTTTCTTCCCAAGTTCCCCAAATCCACTCCCAGCACCCGCCTGCCTGATCACGGGAAAGCTCGAGCTCTTGAGTGGCACGCCCCGTGTAATAGCAGCCTCGGCAAGCGATGAAACCGAGCTCTCCGCGCCAAGAGGCATTCATCTCCAAGCTGCAAACCAGGCGAACACAGCGCACCATGGGAGTGTTTTGCTTTTTGAGGCTACCTGGAGTCTCCATGACCCTTTCAAAATGGGATCATTACCCCAAATAATAGGATCATGGACCCATTTTTTAAAGGGTCATGGAGACTCCAGGTACCCCTTTTGGGCTGGTTTCAAACGGAAAGCAACAGGAAACAAAACGCGAAGTCCGTTTTGGGGAGTCCAACCCA